CTTATTTATTTTGGAGAGAGAGTGAGAGAGAGAGAGAGCACGAGATGGGGAGGGGCAGTGAAAGAGGGAGACACAGACCCCGAAGCAGGCTCCAGGCTCTGAGCTGTCAGCACAGAGCCTGACGCAGGGCTTGAACCCATGAAGTACGAGATCACCACTTGAGCTGAAGTCGGACGCTTAACCAACTGAGCATCCCAGGCGCCTGTTTTTTTAAACATTTTTTAAAAAAGTTTATTTTGAGAGAAAGAGTAGGAGTGAGGGAAAGAGAGAGGGAGAGAGAGTCAGCACAGAGGCTGTGAGATCATGACCTGAGCCCCAAGAGTCGGATGTTTAATTCGCTGAGCCACCCAGACGCCCCTCATGCTGCTCTCTTAACCACGAGAAGAGTACTATCCTCCCATTTCAGAGATGAAGAAAACTGAGGTTTGGCTCTCGAGTGGAGGGCTAGGATTGGAGCCATGTCAATGTGATTACAAGCTTCATTCAAAGCGTGGCTCCATCCCCCCTCAGTGAGGCCCCACCCAGCCCCCTGCATCCCAGCCTCCCTCTTTGGACAGATCAGGTACCTTCCTACCTCTGTGCCTTTGCACATGCTCTCCCCTCTGCTCCGCCCACTGCTCCCTCTTCAGGCTAACTTCAGTTCTTAAAAACAAAATGTGTCTGAATGTCGCCTCCTCCCCATGAGGACTTGCAGTCACTCCACACCTTATGTTCTGGGGCCTTCCACGCCAGGCCGAGAGAGGTGCTCACAGATACCAGATGGCTGAGGTTGGGGTGACATTGCCATGTTGGGACTGGAGACACTATTCCATCCTTAGGAGTAGATCCTGAGGAAAGGGAATCTTCTGCCTCTGGCCAGTGGGTGGAGGGGGGTGGGGAGAGGCAGATAAAAGAGAGAGGCTCCAAGTCCCCACTCCAGGCATAAGAAGAGGGATCCTTTGATCCTCCTGGGGACAGCAGTGTGGCAGAGGGCGAGGATGGGGGATTAGGCCAGGCCACCCCAGGCCCATTCCCTAGGGTGTGTCTTGGGCAAGGTGCACCACCTCTCCCGGGCCTCAGTTTCCTTATATGGGAAACGCAAACAACAGTGGCGACCTCGGGTAGGCGGGTGGGCGTCAGGAGGGTTAGATGTGGGCGGAGCCCCGGGCAGCGTGGGGCACCAGGGATCAGTGCTGGACTTCCTCCTTGCTGGGAGGGCGAGGCAGGTAGCAGACCAGAGAGAGACAGCTCCTTGCCTGGGGCTACCCAGTAAGCGGACCGAAGGCAGGAGCCCAGCTCAGCCCCGATTTGTAGTTAGCAGCTGTGTGTGGGGGGGTGGAGGTGGGGGTCCCAGCTCACACGTGGCTGTGTGTGGCCCGCTGGCCTAGAGGCAGGAGCGAGAGGGAAGCCAGATGGGAGTCAGGCCGGGAGGCCAGGAGCACAGAGGACCAGACTCAGGGTGAATTCCAGTGGGCATTCTCTGGGAGTGAGGTCACCGCCTCTAGCTCCTCGGGGCTGCTTGAGCCCGGGGCAGCGCTGAGCCAGCTCTGGAGCAGGAGGGGGGTGGCAGCAGGTCGGGGCCAGAACACAGCCCCATGCAAGGATGGGCCCCACCCCCGGCGAGGTGCTGGGTCCTTATCTCAGGAAACCTGGTGCTTCCTGTTTAAGATGGAACTGTGTGTATGTGGGGGGGCGGGGGGGACTTGGGAGAGGCGGGGGGGTGGGCGGAGGAGTGGGAAGGCAAAGCCACACTTTGGGAGCTCCAGCTGGGCACCAGAATGCTTCTACATGCCTCACCATGTCATCCTCACCGTGACCTCATTCAGAAGTCGCGGTTACTGGCCCCGCTTGCAGAGGGGGCCCCTGAGGCTCAAAACGGTGAAAAACCTTGCCCCCAAGGGAAGGCAGTGCAGCTGACGGACCCAGAGACTTTGGATCAGACACCCGAGCTCAGAGCCCCGCACGGACACCTGTTAGTGCCCAGTCACCTAAGTGCTCTGGGCCTCGGTTTCCTCATCTGTAAAGTGGCGATGGCAGTCCTGGCCTCGTCGAGCAGGCGCAGTGACGTGACACACGTTAACGTGCACTCAGAGAGAGCCAGCCACCATCGCCTCATTGTACTGATGTCGCGTCTGGGCCCCAGGCCGCACGACTAGTAGGTGGCAGAGTGAGGGCGTGAACCCAGATCTGATTCTTCCCACCCTCCTTATGCCACTGTGGAGTGGCTGCTGCTGGCCCTCAGCTCCCAAGGGGGCCATCGGGAGGTGGCTGGAGGGGTGACACTCCGTGGAACAAGCCGTGGCCTGGGTTTCTGGCCAGGCCATGGAAGCCAGTGCTGGGGCCCTGGGTTCGGGGTCACGCCTGCAGCCGGTGTTCCAGGCAGCCGAGAGGAACTGGGGCAGCGTCCTGCCGGGCACCAAGGCCCCAACATTGTTCTCCGGACCCTCCCAGGCCAGGGCCCACACATCAGGGATTTCCGGCAGCCTGGCCAGAACTGCCTTCACTTTCCGCAGAAACTTTCCCCGGGCGACTGGGACAGAGGCTGAGCCCCGCCCCCCGGCCCCCTCGCCCTGGGCAGGGACTGCTGGGAAGGGCCCTGGCAGCATGGCCAACATCCCCTTGACCCGACAGGTCCTGGCCCCAGAGACGGGCCTCCTCAGAGACACGGCCATCCTCTCCACCTCTCCCGAAGCCGAGGGAAGAAAAAGGTTGACTCATTTTCATTTTTGGGCTGGCTGAGGTCAGGACACTTGGCCTCAAGTCCCTATCACAAATGTGCTGTGACCTGGGCAAGTCACCCTCCCGGTGCCCTTCTGAGGGAGCCTTCCGGAGTGGCCCGCAGCCCGTTGCCCCGCGAGCTTCTCGAGGGCACGGTGGGTCTCCTTCCCCATCCAAATGCTGCGGGTGCTCTCTGATGGCGTGCAATCCTGCTTGCTCAGCCATTCCACGAATGCCACTCTGGTCTCAGTCTCCTCCTCTGAGAAATGGGGAGAACTCCTGCCTGGCAGGGAGCAGAGGGGATCATAGCAGAGAACACATGTACAGCGCAGCAAATGAGCTTCCATCCCTGAATTCTGTCTTCAGGCATCGAGAGAATGCATGTATAGACGCCACCCCTGGGATGTCTTGGGGACCAAGTGCACATGGCTGTGCCCCCTCTTCCTAGAGGGTGTATGTGCTTCTGAGGGGCGGGTGCCCGGCCCCCCTGCCCCGCAGCAGGACCACCTGCTGCGTCGCCAATCCCAGGAGCCCAGGGGCCCGATGAGGCACCCAGAGGGCAAGAGTGGAGCCACATTGCGGAGCCAGCAGCGTCTCGGTGAGGTCAGCGCCGTGGAATGAGTCAAATGGGCTCACCCGGAGGGTTCTGTGCTCACAGGCAGTGACTCATGCCCTGAATAGCTGTGCAGGCCGAGTCTGCCAGCCCGGGAGGGCCGGGGCCACCGGCTTACCTCCCGCTGCTGTGCACCTTTTAAGGAGAGGGAGTTCGAGGTAGCGCAGAGGCCTCGCCACTCCCCACCCCCCACCCCCCGGCCCTGAGGCCTTCGCCAACCCTTCACACCTGCTGGGGGGGTGGTAGAGGCCAGACCCCACCTGGGGCTCACATCTGGCATCATCCCTTTTCAGATATGACCTTGGGTAAGTCAATTTCTCCGAACTGGTTTTTTCACTTGCAATTTGGGAACAATGCCTGCCTCACGAGAGAGGAATGGAGTGAGGTAACGTGTGTAGAAGGCGGTTGGCAGAGGGCACCTTTTAAGGAGTGGCAGCTGGGCTCGCTGGGAGGGGCCTGGGCTCAGGAGCCACAGCGCCCCGACCCTGAACTCGGCACCCCCCCCCCACCTTCGCTGGGCGTCTGTGCAAGTTACTCAATGTCTGCATCAGCACCTCTTCTGTAAAGTGAGCCGCCGCTTGGCCCGTTCGTCCTGCTGGCTGCGTGACTGAGGTCAGACACTCCATTCTGGAGTATGACAGCAGAGGTGCAGGTACAGCCTGCTCAGCCTCGAACCCTGGTCCAGGGGCCTGTGGGTTTCGTAATCTTGGACAAGGTCCTCAACCTCTGAGCAGGTCCCACGTGGAGAAGGGGACTTGGATGTGGCGTCGGGGCCCAGAGCGAGGCCCAGCGCCCCGTGAGCGCCCTCCAGCACTGGCCGCTCTTGCCCATCTTCCCCTAGCCCCTGGCCTCCCTCCGCTAACACCAGCTGCTGGTTTACCTGGGCCCCGCCTGCTGGTGACAGGTCCTGGGTCTGTGGTCCCTCAGGGGCCGCCCGGCTCTCCTGCATGAGCCCCCGCAGGCTTCCCCGGGCTTCAAAGCCCTGGAGCGCCTCACTCGGTTTATGAGAAACACGAGAGCCATCAAGGACGAGGCACACAGGAGTGGCCGCGGCACCCAGGGCCGAGGGCGAGGGTGTGGGGCACCCCTGGTCCTGGGACGCTGGCACCTGGGCTGGGCAACTGAGCTGTTTGGGCCCAGGAGGGAGATGGAGGGCAGGCATTCTTGGCTGGCACCTTCCTCCATGGGCAACGGCGGGGGGGAGGGGGGGCCAGGGATGAGAATGGGTGATGAGAATGGGTGGAGCCGGGGAGGGGCTGGGGTGTTCCTGCGGCGAGCGCGTGCGCGCGCACACACACACACTGGGACAGTCAGCCCAGCGTCCTCACAGGGCCAGGCTTTCTGTGAGCGTGGCCACGTGCGGGCTGGCAGAGAAGGAAAGCCCTAGAAGCATCAAGGGGATCGGGTGTAGGAGCCCAGGCTTGAGAGGCAACCGTGTCTGGATACGAACCCGGGCTCCGCACCCCACGAGCCTGTGTCCTTCTCTGCGCAACAGGGACAGAAAGCGCCCTCTCGCCTTGTGTGCGAAGGCGGCCCCGCGACAGTGGCCACGACTGACAGCACTACTAGCAACAGGGGAGGCTGGCCAAGGGCAGGAGGGTGCTGGAGGGTCGGAGGAAGCAGGGACGGGAGCCCCACCTGGGAAGGGGACACGGGTGCTCCCGGAGCCCAGACAGAACAGAAGCTGTCGTCAGAGCAAACCCTGGCTTTATTGGTCCCGTCTGTTCACAGTGAGGCTTCCCGGAGGCAGCGGCCTGACTGCCTCCCCCCCCGCCCCCACCCCCAGTGCGTGTTCTCTGCCCTCATGCCTGGGAAGGCAGGAAGGTGGCTCTTTGGGGGGGGGGGGGGGGTTGGAGGCTACAGGGTAATTTCGTGTGGGGCCCAGGGTCCGTTCTTCACGGCAGGAGGTAGAAGGGATCACATAAAGTTCTTTATTACAGACCTACAAAAAATGAGAGAATTATATATTACCCTCACTTGTTTGGATTTCTGTTTTCTTCCTTCTTTTTCACAGAATAGCAGCAGGAGAGAAAAACTGCAGGAGGCAGACGGGCTAGGCACCGGGGTGCAGACCGGACAGGGCCAGGGAGACGCTGCTGCTGCCCCCCCCCGGCCCCGCGGGCTGGCCGGCCTGGGGCGCTTGCCAGCATCCTGGGGCGACCCAGGCGAGCCCTGGTGGGGGCAGACGAAAGACAGCGGGTGGGAAGACGGCTGTCCCCGGGTCAGTGGCAGTCAGCCGGCCCGGAAGCTGGAGGCTCCCAGGTTTGGGGGCCTGGTCTCCCAAGCAGGGGTCCATGGGGGCCGGACAGAAGGGAGGAGGCGGGAAGGGCCAACATAGAAGGTCGGAGCTCTAGCGGGGGCCCGGGTGGCCGAGGGCAGCCAGGACTCTTCCCTGCTTGTCAGCCAATCAGCTTCTTCAGGAAGGCCTCCAGCTGGTCCTCGTCCTTGATGCCCACGAACTTGTCCACCACATCCCCGTTCTTGATGGCCAGCACGGTGGGCACAGCGGACACCTGGGTGGAGGAGACAAAGGGCGGTGAACCCCTCTCCGCTGCCACTCGGCAGCCTTTGTGGGAAGTGCCGGCGGCTCACGCAGGGCGGGGCCTGCCCAGGCTGCGGGCGGGGCCCCTCCTCTCAGTGCAGGGGTCCTGCGGGGCCTGGAGGTCCACTGGCCGGGAGACTTTTCCACTGCGGGCTCCCAGCGGTCCCCTTCCTCCCCCAACCGCACGGCTGACTCACTGGCCCAGTGGTTTGGCTGCAATGATGGGAGAGATGAAAATAACCCGTGCAGCTGCAGGCCGGGGCTGGGGGCGGGGAGAGGCTCCCCAAGGGGGAGAGTCCCCCGAGGTGTGGGAGCCCGAGGCCTGGCTGTGCCACTCACTAGAAGGCCACACCACCTTCACAGCCCCAGTGCCCTCTTCTGTAAACCGGGCATGACGGGATCTCCCTGGAAGGTTCGGGACAGAGATTAAGGCTCCTGATACAAAGCTGAGCGGTTAGGAGCTTGGGCCCTGGGTGCGGCCGGCCCGACATTCAGCCACTCTGGGCAAGCCACTTGTCGCCCTGTCTGTGTTCCAGAACGGAGCCACCGAGAGCATTCAGACTAGGTCTGGGGGCTGCATGAGATGATGCGATGTCTTCACACAGCGCCCTGCACCTGGCAGGGGCCGGGTATGCAGTGGCGCTCAGCAAATGGTGGCTACAGACAGCATGGCAGACAAGTCTACCGCATGAGCCATGCTACCTGGCTGCCGTGGACGGTTAGCAGGGTCCCGACATTTCACCGACTCATCCTGGACAGTGCGGGGGGAGGGGCTCGGCTACGCACCGCCTGATGTTTACTTGTTGGGGGTTTGGAGGCAACATTCTTGGCCTGCGCAGCGTTTTCCCAAGTTCCCTCAGGGGACTGGTGCGCATTACACGGCATGTAAATGAGAACCGCTGCACACTCTGGCTTCTAGCATTTTCTGCAGCCTGACCTTTGCAGACATTTTTTAAAAATGGATAAACAGAACAAGATAAACAGACGCTGCGCACACGTGTAACTACAAGGTGACGACAGCAATTCCCACAAGCACCCCCGTCCTCAGGGTTCTGGGGCGTCCTGACCGTTGCTCACGAGCCGCCTCGGGAAACCAGGCTTCGCGGGTAGAACCGTGATGCCGCGCAGGGAACGGGAGGCCACATGGGCCCGGCCTCACACCGCGGGCGCTGCCGCCGCTCGCTCCCGACGGTGTGGCAGGCCCTGGCCTCCGCTCAGGGGCTCCAGGTGGACAAACGTGGCAGTCCTGGCCCCTGTGAGTCCCTCCAGGCCCTTCCGAGCACTGTCCTGGGGCTGATGCGGCAGCAGCTGATACGCCCCTCAGACCCCATGTGTGCCACGGCCCGTCGGCTGCTGTTTACGACCGTGGCATGGGAGGTGGCATGGCGCGCGTGTGTCCGGCATGCGGCTCGTTCTGTCTCCAGGCACAGGCACAGGCAGCGCCCAGAGAAACTTGCTCCGGCTGGACTGCACCCCAGTCATTTGGGGATGCGTGCCACGCAGGTAACACATAGGCTCCATCCCCGACTGGAGCCCAACGCAGGGCCTGAACTCACGACGCTGAGATCAACACCTGAGCTGAGATCAAGAGTCAGACGCTTAACCGACTGAGCCACCCAGGTGCCCCAAAAGATTTTACTTTTAATTTAACTTAAAATACGTATCTCCAAATGTCTGCTTATTTTTGAAAGAGGGTGAGCAGGGGAGGGACAGAGAGAGGTGGGGACAGAGGACCCGAAGCGGGCTCCGTGCTGAGAGAAGAGAGCCTGATGTGGAGCTCAAATCCACAAACCGCTAGATCATGACCTGAGCTGAAGTTGGGATGCTCAATGACTGAGCCACCCAGGCGCCCCAGGATTTTATGTTTTTTAAGTACTCTCTACACCCAATGTGGGGGCTTGAACTTACAACCTCAGAGATCAAAAGTCACACACCACTGACAGAGCCGGCCAGACACCCCCGGAGCTACATTCTTAGGCGCCCTCTAGTGGCCTGTGAGAGCAGCTAGGGTGCCTCAAATCCAGCCACTCCAGAAGCACCAAGCTCCAGCACTAACCGTGTCCCCTTTGCTTCTGTTTCTTTAACTGACATAAAAGCTGTATGTCAGGGGCAGCTGGGTGGCTCAGTGCATTAATCATCTGCCTCCCGGCTTTGGCTCCTGTCATGATCTCTCAGTCTGTGAGTTCAAGCCTCACATCCGGCTCTGTGCTGGCAGCTCAGAGCCTGCTTGGGATTCTGTCTCCTGCTCTCTAAATAAATAAGTAAATAAAAAGCTGCGTGTCATTGTACGAGAGGTGGTCTAACTGCTTTTATGTGTCCTGTTGGGATGGTGCCCCCTGAGGTGGCCCCAAGTGGACTCGTTCTTCCGGAACCCCACGAGTCCCACCACGATCACGCCCGTGAGTTCCCATGCATGCGTGCACACCCCCAGCCATGCCGCAGTCAGGACTCCCGCAGACATTCCAAGGTCTGGTCCCAACTGATGGGGGTGTGTTTGCAAAGCGTGAGCCTGAATCGCATGTGCGCACGCGGCAGCCGGTCCCGGCCCGGCTGGAGGACCTGGGGGGTGGCTGGACTTCCTGCCCCCGTGGAGGAGGATGCAGCTTTGCTGCTCCGGAGTTTGGCTCGCACACCAGGAGGGGCTGGTGCTTATAAACACAGCCTTAAATGGAAGCGCACGGGTCCTGGGCATGCGCCTGGGGAACGTGATCCGCGTGGAAGAGGGGCCTTGGTGGAGGGAGCGAGGGCGCTGCCTCCCGCTCACCTCTGGCAGCTCTGAGGCCTGACCGGGCGGGGGTGGGGGGAAGAGAGAGGAACAGGCGCTGCTCCTCCCCCTGCTCTGTGACACCCCTGGGAGCCTCCCAGGCTGGACCCGATGCCCCAAGAATTCAGCATGGTGTGTGTGTGTGTGTGTGTGTGTATGTGGTCTGTCCCTATGATCCTGTAGCTCAGCGGCTTGCGTGTGCGTGCTTGTGTGTGTGGGTGTGTGTGTCCCTCCCTATGATCCTGCAGCTCTGTGTGTGTGTGTGTGTGTGTGTATGTGGTCTGCCCCTATGATCCTGCAGCTCAAGAGCTTGCATGCGTGCGTGCGTGCGGTCTGTCCCTATGATCCTGCAGCTCAGTGGCTCGCACTCTGCCACTGAGCTTGCTGTCCTGCTCAGTCTCCCCCCACCAACTTCCTCCATCTGGGAGGACCTACCAAGGGACAGACACAACGCTACAGGTCACTGTAGGTGGGCGGCGTCCTCCTCGGCTAACGGCAGAACTAATGCAAAGGAAAAGATCACGGTCACCAAGGCTGCTACATACGGGGGGCTCCTTTAAGGGTCAGGAACGACACCCACCACTTGCATTCGCAACCTCATAAATGCTTGCCTCGAGGCGGGGGTCGCTTCAAAGAGCTGAAGACATGGGGCGCCTGGGTGGCTTAGTCGGTTAAACGTCCGACTTTCGCTCAGGTCATGATCTCGCAGTTCGTGGGTTCGAGCCCCGCGTCGGGCTCTGTGCTGACTGCCAGCTCAGAGCCTGGAGCCTGTTTCAGTCTGTGACTCCCTCTCTCTCTGACCCTCCCCTGCTCACGCTGTCTCTCTCTCTCTCTCCTAGAAATAAATAAAAATATTTAAAAAAAAAAAAAAAAAAAACAAAGAGCTGAAGACAGAGGCACAGATGCTGGATGAGGAAGTGCTGGAGCTGGGATCTGTCGCGAGACCTGTGTGGCTTTGCTGTGACATTGGGCCGTGCCACGCCTCGGCCTAAGAGCGACAGAGTCCCAGCAGGGAGAGGGCGAACAGGCAGGGGGCGTTAGGACTCCATGCTTCAAATGAGAAGCCTTTGGACACAAGAGGATTCTTGGACAAAACCATGATGGAAAAACTCATCCAACTCTGACATTCTGGAAAAGGCAAGACTATGAAGACAGTACAAAGATCAGGGGGTGTCAGGGGCTCGAGGGGAGGAAGGAAGAAAATGAAAAGGTGGAGCCCTTGGGGATCTGGGAGGCAGTGCAACTACTCTGTACGCAACTGTAATGGCGGGCGCGTGTTGCTGGACATTTGTCAAAACCCAGCGTCAGGTGGGCACCCTCGCACGCCACCAGGTCAGCACCGGGCTCCGGAATTTCTGCTTCTCAATGTTTGGTGCCAGGCTGCTGGCAGTGGTCACCTAGAAGCTGGTCCGAAAAGCAGAATCTTGGGCTCTTCTTAGACCTACCGAATCATAATCTGCTTTTAAGCGATATCCCAGGTCATCTTTGTGTTTGCGAAGCCCTGATTTAGAGTGCGTGCACAGCGGGGAGGCACGGTGACAATCGCTCCCAGCTAGATGTTCATAATAATATTAAGTATTAATACTCCGGGAGCTGTCTACGGGGTTAGGAGAAACATTAAAAAGAAGACAATTCAAATAAACCCTTACACGAGTTACCCAAAATGGTGACGGGGTTGTATCTGGGACAGTAAGATGACAGGGGACTTTTCCCCTTATTAATTACTTGGCTGTTTTTCTACTGCTTTTTAAAAGGGCCTTGTCCGCAAGGGGAGAAAATAAAAGAATAACAGCTCCAAGTGTGAAGTCAGAGGAACGCATAAAGCTTCGAGGGTCCACGGCTCGGGCCACTCTTTGCCCCCAGTGGCTGGCAAGGTCTTTATGGTCACGGAATGCCTGGCCATTCAGCGGGGACAAGGAGACGGCGAGCAGAGAGCTTTCCGTGTGGCCAAGCCAGGGTGGTGCATGATTGGGCGGCGGCCAGGGCACCCCAAAACTACCAAAGCCCTGAGCCTCTCCCTTCCCCGTCCTTTGGGAGACAGTGGGACTCCAGGGTGGCCAGCTGCCCGGAGGAGAAGTGTGGTGCGAGACGGAGGAGACCTGCCCTGAGGGTGTGTGCTGGGCACCAGGGAAGGTTCAGGAAAGGCTGGAGAGAGGCACCAAATTCCCTGAAAACAATTTTTCCCCCTTTTTATTTATTTATTTATTTATTTATTTTTTTAAATTTTTTAATGTTTTATTTATTTCTAGGAGAGAGAGAGAGACAGAGAGAAAGTATGAGCAGGGGAGGGTCAGAGAGAGAGGGAGTCACAGACTGAAACAGGCTCCAGGCTCTGAGCTGGCAGTCAGCACAGAGCCCGACGCGGGGCTCGAACCCACGAACCGCGAGATCATGACCTAAGCGAAAGTCAGACGCTTAACCGACTAAGCCACCCAGGCGCCCCTTTTCCCCCTTTTTAAAGTAGGCTCCATGCCCAACGTGGAGCTTGAACTCAGGACCCGGAGATGAAGAGCCGCATTCCCCATGGACTGAGCCAGCCGGGCGCCCCTCCCCGAACACAGGTCAAAGCGGTTTCTATCTCACGTCCATCCAACACGCGGGAGAGGAGGAAGCTGTCCCAGGAGGCGCCACGGATCTCTCAGCCGGAATGTCTGCCTCCTCTGGCTCTCGTCCCGGAGAACAGGTGTGAGGGAAGGAAGGAAGGGACGGGGGGGGGGGGGGGGGGGGGGGGGGGGGGGGGGGGGGGGGGGGGGGGGGGGGGGGGGGGGGGGGGGGGGGGGGGGGGGGGGAGGAAAGTCCCCGCTGGAGCTTCCTCAGCCCCACAGTGCCATCCATCCTGCTGGGACCTGGTGATGTGACCCATGCTATCTGGACTGCGGATGGGGGAGGAGCTAGAAGACCCTACAAGACCCACTTCCAATGCACAATCAGGACCTTGGGGCCCCGCCCTGCACCGCCACCTGGAATGCAGGTGCGGGCGGTCTCAGGAACCTCACCCCCCGGGGCAGGGGGGGGGGGGGAGATGGGCGGCACACGGTTGGCAGGAACTGGGTTATTCGTCTTCACATCTGCACCAGTTAAGCACAGTTCCTGGAACGTGGCTGGTGCTCAGGTGTGTCTGAAAGTTCCAGTGGCCGAGGCGACTGGCCTGGTGGCAGGAGTTAGCCGATGACACCTTATGCCTGCCCTTGACCCTGGGAAGGCCCTGGGAGCCCCAGCCCACAGCTGCTGCGGGCCTCAGGGGAGGGATGGACAAGGAGGAAGGTAGGGGCATCGAGCTGGCCAGGAAGGACCCCCTTGACTCTTGACTGAAGGACCAGTGAGAGAGTTTTAAAAAAACAGCAGCTTGGGGTGCGTGGCTGGCTCAGTCCGTAGAGCACGCTACTCTTGATCTTAGGGTTGTGAGTTCGGGCCCCACAATGGGGATATCGCTTACTTTAAAAAAAGAAAGACAAAACAGAACACAAGAATAACTCACCCCCCTCCCCTGCTCTGGCCCTTGTCAGTGGCCCTCGGTCACCCAGTGCCACAGTCTCACTTGGGTAACACCCCCTCACTCATCTGCAGTGCTCACTGGGGGCTTGGCCTGCCCGGCATCTGTTTCCTGTGCCTCTGGCTGGGGCAGCCTGGTCTCCTGGCAGGTGATCACTCCCACCCCAGGGCACCCCAGCGGCCCGCCTACTCTCATCCCTGTCCCCCTGGGGACTGGCTGCATCTCTACTCTAGCTGAGCCTGGACTTACCCCCTCTTTCAGGGAGAAGGGAAGGGACGGATGGAGGAGGGATGGGATGAGGGTTCTCTGACCACATCTGAGCACGTCAAGAGAACCAGAAATCTGATTTTCACGGGAAATCTTGTTTCAGGTACCAGCATCTAGTTCAGTATTTAAAACCAACCAACCAACCAACCCGAGGGTCAGATCAAATGTGCTGGAGCGCCAGCTTTGGCCACAGGCCACCAAGTGTAACCTTGGCTCTGTGGTAACAGGCTCCTCAGCACCCCTTCCATCTGACCACAGTCACCGCCCCCAGTGGCCCGTGCTCTCACTCTGCTTGGTTCTCCATGCTGTCCAACCAGCCACAAAGCAGCTCTCCCCTTTCTCCAGCTGTTGTCGTCTCTGAGGCCCCCACACCCCATGCATTTCCTGCTCCAGGCACACAGGCCCTGCTAGTCTGCGAGCAGCCTGTGCTCACCCTGACCTCAGGGCCTTTGCACTTGATGTCTGCTCTGTCTAGATTACTCCTCCAAAGAGCTGTTCCATTTCCTTCCTCTCTCCAGGTCTTTGCTCAGATGTCAGCTTCTCAGAGAGGCCTTCCCTAACCTACCATTTTATTTTTTATTTACTTATTCATTATTATTTATTTTTTAAAAAGTAAGATCCTAACCCAACATGAGGCTTGAACTCACAACCCTAAGATCAAAGGTTGCATATTCTACTGAGCCAGCCAGGTGCCCCCTAACCCTTTTAAAAATGAAACCCTCCTATGGGGCACCTGGGTGGCTTAGTCGGTTTAGTGTGTGACTTTAGCTGAGGTCATGATCTCATGGCTTGTGGGTCGAGCCCTGCGTCGGGCTCTGTGCTGACAGCTTAGAGTCAGGAGTCTGCTTTGGATTTTGGGTCTCCCCCCTCTATCTGCCCCTCCCTAACTCTTGCTCTGCCTCTCTCTCTAAAATGAATAAACATTAAAAAAAAAAAAAAAAAAAAAAAAAAAAAAAAAAGGAAAAAAAAAGAAACCCTCCCCAGCACCATCTCCTCTTCCTGATTTATTTCCACAGCACTTATTACTTAAAGCAGGGATCCCATGGGACAGACCCGGCCTGCTGCCTGTTTGTGTAAATAAAGTTTTACTGGCAAACAACTATGCCCATTTGTTTATATACTGTTCCTGGCCGCTTTAGATGGCAGTTGAGTTTTTGCAATAGAGACCAGTGCCCTGAAAAAGCTTCAAGTACGTTCCACCTGGTCCTTTAGAGGAAAAGAGTACCAACTTTGTTCACTGCCATTATCAACAACCAAGTAACAGCACCTGGCATTTAAGACACTCTGAACGCACATCTGATAAATGCACACACAGACTAACCAAAGGCATTAGACTACCCTGACTTGGGGTGTGCTGTGCTCTTGGCCTTTCTTCTCTGTGCCTCCTTCATGGCCCCACTCAGAGGTCCCCCGAAAGGGGAGCACTCCCTCCCCCTCCCCCACCTATCAGTCCCTTCTTCCTGTGCGCAGCAATGCGGTCAGCACTACCACCGTGTGCTGAAACCATCTACCCATGGCTCTCCCCCTAAACTAGGGGTGCCGGACACAAGGTGATCACCTTCTTTGTGCCAGAGTCACGGATGCCCGGCTCGCTGTGGGGCTCCCAAGTGACTGCCGACCAAATGTGGGTGGCTGAGTACATGCGCGGAGTTCATCAGTGCCCTGACACTCAGACAAGAACCTGGCGCTTTGGACCACACGCTCCATGTCCTACAAGTGAGCAAGACAGACAAGCGGCTCAGAGGGCCAAGAGAGTCCCATGTGCAAAGTGCTCTGAACTCCCAAGAGCTCTAGAAAAACCCGAGACACCTCTTCCTGGCTGCCTGGTGGCCCCTAAGATGTGTCTCGCACCTGCTATCGTGCGGCCCAACGCCCCCCACACCAGTGGCACCGTGGGAACCCCCCGCCGATTCATACCTCATATTCTAGGGCGAGGTCTGTGTGGTCGTCAATATCCACTTTGGCCATCACCACTTTTCCATGCTGTTTGGCCACCACCTTCTCTAGCCTCGGCCCCAGGATCTTGCACGGGCCACACCACCTCAGAGGGGGAGAAAGGAGGCATCCGGTCACAAGAGCTCTCAGCCATCGATTTACTGTCTCCCGAAAAACTTCCCTTGACCCACATCTTTCTGAGGGGCCTTTTGCCCTTATTAGCTCTGTTTACATGTTTGAATATTAACCTGTGATGGCGACACGCCTAATGATAAAGCCAGAACTCTGCGGCTGGGGGATGTCCAGGGGTCCCAGGCTTCTAGAACATGGTCTTTGTCGGGAGGCTTTTATAAAGGTTATTTCAATGGATGTAAGAGAAATGCACTGCCATACAGAAAAATACCAGATGCGAAGTTAAACGGTTTGGGCTCAAAGACTCCTCGCCTATCAGTTGACTGTTCCGGGGCCTCGGTTTCCTCTTTTGAGAAAGAAGATCGTGCCTCTCCAAGCAGCGAGGAGAAATCCACGAAGACGATGGTGCATAAACACGCGCTATCAGCCACAGGGTAACTCTGGATACTTCACGGACCCACAGCTACAGGGAGGATGGACCAATGGCTGGGGGAGCACCTAAAACCGGCGAGTCGCTGCGCCAGGACCTTTTCAGCTTTTACTGCCCAGGACCCTCAACCCCACAAAGGAAAAGAAAACACCTTCCTAAGACACTGGGGAGCTTACGAGGTCAGGAACCTGTGCCCGGTCCCGGGGCTGGTGGATGGCACACCGCATCTGCAACCTGAGGTTAGGTCTCAAAAGTCTCCTTTCAGCCCTGGTTATTCTGTGATCCCGCAGGCCCCGCGGCGACGGCCTCAGGCCCCGCGGTGACAGCTAGCACCGCGCCCATCACAGCTGTTCCCCTCCGGGCGGAGAGCTCTTCGGGGACGGGCTGGCGTCTCCAGGTCACGAGGGACAGTGCCTGGCACTGAATGAACAAACTCACGTCTTACTTCCTCGTCGGAGGAAACGACGCATCAGCGCATCAACCATTTACTTTGGAAGTGCTCTCTCTGGACGGCTTGCGAAACCAGGGAGGTAGAAAGCTCTGCCTTCCACGAACTCCTGGCCGGTGACCCCTATTTTACTCTCAGCCTTGAAAACCCTTTCCGTTCAGAGATTTCAGTTAAGGAACTCACGACACCTAAAAACCCAGTCTGTAAGACCTTATCTCCTGTTGTAAGTGAACAAGGGGAGGCCCCACGAGGTTGCACGGCCTGCCCAAGGCCCTGTGGTGAGTCAGACAGAGTGGGAAAGAAAGCACAACACTCTTGTCAGACATCTGCCCGGAAGGCCTGCCAACTTCGAACCCAGGCTAGGCCAGGTCTGTCCAGTTCTCTGGCAGCCTGGCGGCCGGTCAGGACCCGGAGCCTGGAAGTGAAGAAGGCCAAGCTAATGATTAGGAGGCTAGAGGCAGGATGTCAGAATCCCTAAGGTCCACTTGCAGAGCACGGAAAAGAAAACCCTGCCAATCCCCTGCCCGCTTGGATCTCACTGTGGTGACGCTGATAACTTTGTGCCAGCCCTTCCCAGGTTTGGTGGGAAGACGTTCCAAAATCAACTTGTCTGCAGGGCCAGGGGATGGAATACACCACGAGCCAGAGGATGTGATAGTCCTGTTTTTCTTGCTTTGGTCCGAGCTGAAGGGGACGCTGAGCCACCGGAGCAGTGAGATACAGAACGTGTTTCTCAGCACTAACGACAGGGGGCTTCGAAGAGCGTTTTACTAGCCTGTGTCTTACCAGAAGGCACTCGATCTCAGCAAGGCCTGGATCTTCCCAGTCCTTATAACGAGACTACATCTGAGAGGCTTCACACGTGGTACCGAGACGTGGCAGGTACTCGGTCAACACCGGGCCCAGCACCACCCGTCTTCTGTTGACCCCCCCCCCCGGGGACTCACTGTGCATGAAAATCCACAACCACTGGTGTTTCACTGTTGACAACTCGGTCTTGAAAGTCAGGTCCATCCTGGATATTAAAGGTCGTTGTGCAGACTCTGGTGGTGTATATTGACCGGGCCTGGTTGGGTGTTCCTGTCCGGGTGTCACCAGGACTGCACTGCAGGGCCCTGGAGGTGAGGGGTGCCCACCGACCCTGGGGTGGTTTCCTGGAGATGACAGAGGCCAGGAACCTCCTCAGGAGAAATCGCTGAGCCATCTGTGAGGGAAAGAGGCAGAACAGTTCAAGACGTCAGCACCTCAGGAAAAGAAAGGTATTTGGGGAGATCTGGGGGGGGGGGGGGCTCAAAATTCTGGGACTGAAGAAGAATGCCCGGAACTAATATGTAAGATTTCTAGAATAGCGGGCGCCTGGGTGGCTCAGTGTTTAAGTGACCAATGCTTGGTTTCCACTCAGGTCATGATCTCACGGTTCATGGGTTCAAGCTCTGACAGGCTCCAGGCTGACAGGGCCGAGCCTGCGAGGGGTGCTGTCTCCCTGCCCCTCCCCCATGCTCTCTCTCTCAAAATAAACAAACTTAAGAAAGAAAAAGATTTCTAGAATAGAGGTCAGTGAAGGGTGAGAAATGAGAATCAAAAAGCAGAGTCACATGCCACGACTGAAAAACTGGACTGATGACAAAAGGGAAATCAGGATACCCCAGATTGCAACAGAAGGGAGGCAGGAACCTACTGTTCTCATGGAGCACCTGCTAAGGGCCAGGTGCCTTACACACATTACAGTTCTCCCAGATCACCCAGAACGAAGTTTCTACAGCACTGCTCATATCAGCTAGGGAGTCCGAGGCTTAGGTAATTGTGACACGCCCAAAGTAACCTATTAAATGAGAGTCAACACTGGAACCCAAGGCCGTCTGTAAATTCTTTATTACTCTTTTTAATGGGTGCTTTAACGGGAAATCAAGGAAAAAGGGAGTTATCAAAGGATCAAGAAAGAGGAATCGCAACAATTCAAGGGGGGGAACTAAGAGGTTCAGGACCCGGAGCGTGTGGGGGTACTAAAAAAGAAGGGACATGCGTGAGAGACCGGGGACTGGGTCTCCGGAGGACAGGTTCCCCCACCCAGCCCGAGGTCTCCGCCCGGCCGGCCGCCGGCCAAACGCAGGAACAGACCCGGAGCGTGTCTCCGCGCGACACCACCTAGAGCCACCCCCACGAGCCTCCTACCTCCCTGCAGCGCGAGCGGAGGGATGCACGGCAAGGCCCGCCCCGCCAGCCAAGGGCACTCCCGCCGTCACTTCCTCGAGGGAGGGCCTTTCGAGCATCACTTCCGGGGACAGGCAACCCGGAGCACTTCTCTCCGCAACTCGAGGGACGGCTTGCATCGTCCACCAATGGGGCAGGCGGGGGACGGCACGGAGGAAGGGGTGGAGCCTCAGTTAGGGACGGGAAGGGAGGGGTTCTCGGCAGAGACAGCGGAAGAGGGGGCTGGCCCTTGGAGGGGAAGGACCGGAAGAAGGGGCGGGCTCTCGGGGGAAGGGACCGGAAGTGGGGCGGGTCTTGGGGGGCGGAGACCGGAAGAGGAGGTGGCCCTCGGGGAGGGGCCAGAAAAGGAAGGCGGGCTCTCGAGGAGGGTCGGGAAGAAGAGGAGGAGGGAGGAGGTGGGAGCGTGAGGGAGTTACCCAAGGGCGAAAAGGGCGGGAGGGAGGTGTGGTTCCGGGTTATGCAAACCCTTCACCGCTTACCCCCTTTGTTTCAGTGTCTTCCAAAAACTACAGGTGCAGGAGATTCTTTTTTTTTTTTTAAACCTTTATTTATCTTTGAGAGACAGAGAGAAACAGAGCACGAGCAGAGAGAGAGGGAGAGGGAGACCCAGAATCTGAAGCACGTTCCGGGCTCTGAGCTGCTAGCACAGAGCCCCACGCGAGGTTTGAACTCACAAACCGTGAGACCTTGACCTGAGCTGAAGTCCCACGCTTAACAGCCTGAGCCACCCAGGCGCCCCTGGGTGCAGGAGATTCTTTTCCTCCTTTTTACAGACGAGGCAGCTAAGCTCCTTGAAGGCGGAAGTGCTGGTTAGGAGCATAGACCCTGACTGGGAGTAAAGAGGACGCTTTGTGGCCCTTGTCTGTCACACGAAACTGTACAGCCTTGTGGTTTTGGACAAGTCACCCTGGCCCGGAGGGGCTTCGGTTTCCCAGTATGTGACATGAAAGGCTGGCGTGGCTCAAGCCTGTGTCCGGAGTTGCTGGGGAACTGGGCTTGGACAGGGTGTCAGGTGGCCATGGTGCTCGGAAGGTCTGCCTTTGAGGCCCTGGATAAAGTGTGGGGACCTGGGAACTTGCTTGGGCCTAGACCTTCTTTCGCACCCAGCATCACTGCCCTGGACAACAGGGGTCTAAGTGTCTGTGTGGCACAGGCTGGAGGCACAGCCATCTCTTGTCTCCCCTAAACCCTCTCCCTTACATTACAACCACTCATGGCCTGGTGATTCTACGAATACATCGCTGCCTTTTCCCTTCTCCTTGCCTTTGCTTAATTTGAAATGCTCTTTTCCCTCTCCACTTGGAACACCTACTCATCACTTCCCTGAGCAACATGAATTGCTTCCTTCTCTATAGTGCTTTGTTCATAACTCTTATGTAACACATTGTATGGTGTCTTTCTCTTCCCCTAGACTTTATGCTTCCTGAGAGTAGGAATTTGTAGCTTTTACTTGACTCCATATGCCCACCAGTCATCCAGTGCCTGCCTCAGAGGATGTCCAATAGATATTTATTACACACCATCTTTGGGTATCTCAGGGAGCGGTTTATAGAAAGGTTACATGATGTGTCCAAGGTCACGAGGCAGGTAAATTGGTACAGCCCCTCCTTACACCTACAATTCAGTCCACTCCAGCCATCGGGAATCCCTTACAGCTCCAGAGTGTGCTTAAATGGGTCTCCGGGCCCTGGATTTGGCAGCTGCTACTCTCTAGGACCGGAAGGCGCTTCCCTCTACTCTCCAAGGGAGACAATAGGCATCATCTCTGGAAACCCCTCCCTGAGCCTCCTGGCGTGGGGGAGATGCCCTTCTCGGAGTTTCCACAGCCCCTGTGCTTCTGTCAATCAATCCCCACACTCACCACTCTGTATTGTTACTGTCTCTTTGTTTGTTTCTGCTGCATTTATTACTGATTAAAAAAAAGATGTTAAAAAAATTCAGGACACCCCGCTGGCTCAGTTGGAGGAGAAGTTGACTCTTGATCGCAGGGTTGTGAGATAGAGATGGGTGTAGTGATTACTTGAAAATAAAAATTCTTAAACACACACAAAATTCAGTCTTAGTTTGCCAATGGCTCTCATTCTTCCTTCTTGCCCACACAACCCCTGACCATTTCCTTGGGGCCAGTTCAAAGCCGAACCTGTCCACGACCACCAGTTTCACAGAAAGCAGCCAGGGCCCAGGATGTGGGGGGAGATGATAGAGGGTGACAGTACCATCCAGGTTCCACCCACAGGGAGGCCAGGTGAAGATTCACAGACTTCAGACGAAAGGGCCGGTGGCCTCACCGTGACGCAGTCTAACTAAAAGTGGGCTGGAGAGGAGACGGGTAGCCCGTCAGAGGCTTTCGAGGACATCTCGTGGGCTTGTGTCAAACCCAGAAAAACCAACACCAGAAGGATGGGGAGCCCAGGGAGGCAGTCTTGTGGAAAGTTTCACAAATCCTCCCACATTGGGAGGTGCAAAAAGTCTAGAAGGCACCAAGAACCTCACTCATTTTGGCAGAAGAACTCACTCTGGGGTTGGGGAAGTTCACAAAGCCACCACGGACACTGAGAAAGGCTCCGAGGGGGGCACAGTTCCTCAAAGCACCGTGATCACAGACCAGAGCCGTGGGGATCTTGCTACCGGTGCGGAAAATACAACATATTGTCTGTTTCTTTATTCCTCACTCCTCACTGTACTGTCAGCTCCCAAAGGGTCCATCTGTCTCTCTGCGGCTTATCTCAGGGCCTGGTGCATCCAAGCAGGTGTTCACTGATTATTTGTCCCGTGAACAGACGGCAATAGCACAGTCTTCTTATCCCAAATCACATTTTCTCCGTCATATCACATGGCTCCATTATACTCTTCCCAAATCAGTGCCATGTTTTTTTGTTCCCACCTTGTCTCGGCCATAGCACGCTGTCTGTTCTCTGTGCAGTTGACAGGTTTGCTCCCTCACTCCCCTGGCATGCACGTCCTCCGGGGTGGGTCAGGGAATCTTTGGAATAGGCCCACAGCCCCTGGGCACCACTGGCTGCGTCAGTCTTCCACTCGATAGACTGTCCATCACAGCCAGGAGACCAGGTGAGAGCATGGGCAGGCGTGGCCCTCCCCGCCCCGTCTGATCTCTCGCTTTCGCCTCTGCGCATGCCCAGGACTGAAGCCAATAGTCGTAATCCACGGTGGGAGCCCCTGAGGTCAGCATCCTTTGGTGCAGCTGTTTTTGCTAATTCCAGATGCCATCTGGCAGGGGGAGCTTCCCCCTTGTCCTCTTTAATTTCTGTTTTTCTGTAGCTCTGGCACTTTCTTTTCCAGGCGCCTATTAATCCTATTCATCCTTTCCACTGCACTTTCGGAAAGGCCCATTTCCCCTGCTCAATTCACATTCTGAGGTCCGAAGGAGGACCAGTCTTGTTTATCCTCATTCCATAGTTACTTCACCTCTCGGCCTCAGGGTTCCCATCTGAGAAATGGGAAGAATTATGCCTTCCTTACAGGGGGCTGGGAGAGCGCAGGAATGACTGAGCATGGGGCCCGGTGCACGTGAGCGCCTGATGGATGACGAGTCTCTCTCTGCAGGGAGAGAGCCTATGACAAGCCTGTATTCCCAGTGGGCCACGGAGGGGCTCCGCAGCTCCATGCAGGCTTGTCTGCCCAGCCAGAGCCGACCTGGGCTGGGTCTGCCTCAGTCGCCAGGCAGGCTCAGGGCACAGGTTGAAAGGAAGGGAAGTGAGCCAGGGCTAGCAGCCTGAGCTACAAGGGAAGCTTCTCCTGCCGCCCCTTGCTGATATTTATTGCAGTGATTTTCAGGCTGCGGGATGTGAGCCGCCATCGGTGGGTTTGTGAAATCAATATAGTGGGTTGTGATCAGCTTTAAAAGAAACAAATGGAATTGGAACTATCAGAGCATGTTGTGTGTTGTAAGTATTATTCCGTGGGACAGCTGGTCGTGTCATGTCTGTGCCCGTGTGGCCTCGGTTGTGATTTAGAATGTGTTTTTACTGTAGGTCATGGTCAGAGGGTTTGAAAGCTGTTTCACTGGAGTCACTCAACACCTGATGCTGTTTTTTAAGGAGGTAGAAGCTTAAAAGTGCTACACTGCCCCTAGCAAGGGTCTGATTTGACCCTTGACTGCTGCTTCTCCCCACCCACTGATCCCTACATACCAGTTGGCCAGTCTAGGCCATCAAAATGCAACATGAGGCTCTAACCCAGGCCAGTGCAGCAGGCAGCAATGGTTCTCAGCAGCGGTCATTAGCAGAAGTGTCCACATGGTGGCAGTGTGGTTCACGCAGTCTCCTCAGGGGACCAGGCTAGCTGGGCACAGCCCTGGGGCACTGGCTCCCTCGGGTCCACAGGGCAGGGGACAGGTGTGGGAGACAGGTGCATCTCAGTGACCATGTGTCTGGGGATTTCATAGCTGGAGGGAGGCACCTTAGAAAAAAATCAACGAAGAGAGAAGTAGTGGGGCACAGTCTAAGCTCAGTTTCCAAGAGGTATTTCTCCTGAGCTATCTTTGTTTTCAGTTTCCATCCTGATGGTAATTTTTATATGTCTTGTGTGTTTTTTATTAAAAATTTTTTTTGTGTGTTTTTTTACATTTCTTACTTTTTTTTTTGCATTTTACATTTACATTTATTTTTGAGAGACAGAGTGTGAGTGAGAAGGAGCAGAGAGAGAAGGAGACACAGAATCTGAAGCAGGCTCCAGGCTCTGAGCCATCAGCACAGAGCCCAAATTGGGGTTCGAACTCATGAACCGTGAGATCATGACCTGAACCCAAGTTGGACACTTAACTGATTGAGCCACCCAGGCACCCCTTGTGTGTTCTTTAAAGAATGCTTTTACAGAACAATTAGAACTGTTAACTTAATGTTTTGCAGTTCAAGAAGCTGGTTTCGAGGTGTCTGGATGGCTCAGTTGGTTAAGCATCTGACTTTGGCTTAGGTCATGATCTCACACTTGTGGGTTCGAGCCCCTCATCAGGCTTTGTGCTGATAAGCTGGAAGCCTGGAGGCTGCTTCAGATTCTGTCTCCCTGCTCCTCCCCTGTTCTCTCTCTC